CCTGCACCCCAAACACATACTTACTCTGACTGCACCCTTCACTCACACTACCCTACACTTCTGGCATACATTCTGAATCCCCTGCACACACTAGATTTCCTGTAAGCAAGCACACTACATTCCCTAAATAACTCCTACACACATCAAATCACCTACATATCCTATAGCCCCAATGCACACACTCCCCTATACACACAAAAAATAAAAATTCACTCTACAGCAGCTAGCCACACACTACAACACGACTAAAACCGACCACCTTAAGCAATACCACACCACAATCTGCTCGTTCTACACACACGCAATCCCACACGCAGGCTCCAAACACATGCACCATACGCTTTCCTGGCCCTTTTGTCCTCTGGTATCCCAATTATGGAGACACCAGAGACAAGTAGCAAACATGTTAATACATTTACTTGCACTGCTCAGAACGAATACAGCGCCTTTATCACATGCAAGAGCTCTTCACCAAGGCTCTGCACATGGTCTTCCCTGGAAGAGCATTGAACCAACATGCTCACTTTGAGAGGGCGTGCGTGTCATTAGTAAAGACAAAACACCCCTCTCTGGCCCTGCTCCTTCTCTGTGGGCTGCTGTTTAAAAAATAAATAAAATAATAATAAATAATAATACCTGGGCTGGTTTGTGTGTTTTTTTTATTTTATTTTTTTTTATCTGGCCCTGGAGGGGTGCATGGCTGCTATCTAATGTAAGGAGGGTGTAATGCGAGTTATTATAATCTAAGAAGGGGGTAACCTTTATATATAGTATAAAGAGAGGATTCACATTAAAAAGCCTAATCCTACCAGAGCCCCTTGCACTCTTTCTATAGAAAGTATATTGTGTATTACTCCTGATCAATCTGTGAAGGAGGCCTCTCTAATGGTCATTGGAAACACCTGTCCTAATATGCCCCAAAACTGCTACTGCTAGAGAAACGTCAATAGGTGGCAGTGTCAGCCAAGCTCTCTCAATTCACTGAATGAAAGTCCTGCATTGATTAAAATCTTGGTCCACATGTATTTAGTCCTCCATCTAATTTCTTGCTGTCTTTCTACCAACATCATGTAGGAAATGTTTTCTGTCCGAAGGGGTTTTAGAAAATCTGAATACCTCCATCTCCTTCGATAATTTTGTAGTTTTCTCTTTATTTTATTTTTTAACTTGCGTTAACATTCCTCCTTTTCCCATCTCACAGCTACGGCCTTGGGTGGGGAGCTGCGGATGCTGCATGAGGACATGCGATTGCTTCAGACCGCAATGCAGCAGTTGCAAGGAGTGATGGAGAAGATTGTTCTTGGTCTGAGCCGACTGGAGGAGCAGGTCTCTGTCCAGCTTGGTTACCTCTCCTCCCTTGCCGGCAACGTGACTGCACCGAAATGTTCTGCAGATGATGCTCCCAAGGAAACTCCACCTAGTACACGTGGCCAGCAGACTGCTAGAGCTCTTCGCAGGAGCCTTAGACTCAAGAAGCCATATTTTTCTGACCTGGGGAAATAGATTTGTTTGGTGACTTTGTTTTGAGCAGGGTGTGCTGGAAGTTATGTTGGATGAGAAGCCTGCAGTTGAGCAGATCTTGGTTTGGATGGTTTAATAACTGCATTTCTTTAACGTTCCCTGAGCCCCGGCCGGGGTGGACTTTGTAATATATTGTATATTAAACAGACTGAACAAAGAGGTTTATCTTTATTTTATGAAAGTTTTGTTTACCTTTTTTGTGAATTAGAACCATTAACCTCTTAAAGAAACACTTTTTTTTTTTAAACAATTTGGTTTTATATAAGACTTAAGTTAATAAAATATCTATTTAGTAAATATACCCCAGTAAAATTATACAAGTATTTTTCACTGAGGTTTTACCGAAGACAGCTTGTAAAAGCTGCAGACTTCTTGTCCCACCCCTTCTAGCCCCGCCCAAATGTTCTGTAGCTGTCCAATCACATGCTCCCAATGCAGCTCAATGAGAAGTCTTTGTAAGGCAGGGGCTCTGGGCAATTGCTACCTCTTGAGTTTATCAACACTGAGATAAACAAACAAACCAGGAAGTAATACACAGCGGTCAGTCATAACCGGTCGTGTTATGTTTATTAAAATACCAATGTCTGCTGAAATCTGTGTTTGTGTGGGTTTTAAAAAAAATAAATAAATAAAAAATTGTATAAATAAATGGGGGAAGAGACACTCTAAACATATTAGGTGAAGACCATTGCACCTCTTTCTAATTAAAGAATATTCCATTTTTTTTGGATCCGTTCCCTGATAAAGGAAGCTTAGGTGTTTCCCAGTGGTCGCCAATTGCTGCTGCGGTAAATAGGCGACAGAGTAAAGAATATCTGTATCTTAAGAGACATTGGTCTGAGCTGGATTAACATGGCTGTGATCTCCACACACAATCCCTATGTGTAACCTCAAGATCTATTCTATGAGCATATGAATATCTGGGCAGGTTCATCAAATCTGCTGATCCAGTGCCAGCACCCAGACAGTCCTACACAACCAGTGTTTGTGAGGGCCAACTCATCTGAAGTAATGTAAGAAATGGATTGGTGAAGTACCACTGTCTACTGATGGATATAAACGGCTCATTATGGTACTCAAAGGTCAAACTTTATCTGACGGGAACCCCTGAGAATGGCTGACGTATCGAAGATAAACCTTCATTTAAGAGCAGCTGCCCATAGGATACCTACTCAGCCTGCTTGCCTATAGTGGTTTTGTCTGTTTATTTCTTTGGTGTTTCTCGTCCCTACGAATATAGTGATTTATTTTAGCTAATGACGACTGATCTCTTTGTAAATGCTGCTGTGGTTTTACTGTATGTCTGTACAAACGAGACCCATCTGGTAAATAATTTATAGACCATCTCAGGGAGGGCATCACTAGTATGGGCTTTGTTCCAATCTTTAACCATAAGAGAAGACCAGCATTTTGGACCATGTAAAATATTGTGGTGTAAGGACCACTCTGAGACATACAAGGTTATTCAATAAAGTGAGCATGCACTCCACACCCATTAAACACTTCAGCTCCAAAGTGCTTTATGGATGATAAGCATCCTATTACTTCCAATTTATAATAGTGCAAGTTTCTATTTTGCCCCGCCTGTCAGAGAGCTTTCTTCTTCTGCTAGTTTCCCCAGTGATAATGGAAGCAGCAGCTGTGCCGTACGTGAGCCTGGCCCCCCTGATCTCAGTACGTGTGCCTTCATGCACAGTCGGAACCTTCTCAATGGGAAGAAAGGTTTGCATCGACTGTAGTCTTTTAAGATATACCTCTAAATAGTAAATATTTCCCTACAAATACATGCATGTAAACAGTGATATATTTTTTTTTTTTGCTTTTTGCGGTGTGGCCATTAAATGGTCTTTCTAAAGATACCAATATTTTCATCATATCATATAATTTACTATAAACAAATTATAAAATATGATGAAAAAACCCACTTTTTAGAACTTTGGCCCCCAAAATCTGTTACACATCTACAACCGCCAAAAAACACCCGGCTAAGTAGTTTCTAAATTTTGTCCTGAGTTTAGAAATACCCAATGTTATTTTTTTTGCTAGTTATAGGGCTAGGAGTACAAGTAGGACATTGCTGTTTCAAAATATATATATTTAAAATTTATCAATAGTGACATTGTAACACTTATCTGTCATAAATCTCTGAATCACACCTAACATGTACATATTTTTTTTAAAGTAGACAACCCAGGGTATTCAATATGGGGTACGTCCAGTCTTTTTTAGTAGCCACTTAGTCACAAACACTGGCCAAAGTTAGCATTTATATTTGTGTTAAAAATGCAAAAAAACTATTATGAAAGCTAACTTTGACCAGTGTTTTTGACCCAAATGGCTACTAAAAAAGACTGAATATACCCCATTTGCAATACCTTGGGTTGTCTTCTTTTACAAATGGTATGCCATCATGGGGGTAATTCTCATTCCTGGGCTACCATACCCAGCCACTACCTTACCCATTCAACAATATTGGAATCCAAACTTAAAGATTGAAGATTATTGATAAACCTTCTATGTGCAACAGTGTCAAAAGCCTTACTGAAATCTAGGTAAGCAATGTCTACTGCACCACCCTGATCTATAATTTTAGTTACCCAATCAAAAAAATCAATAAGATTAGTTTGGCATGATCTCCCTGAAGTAAACCCATGTTGTCTCTGATCTTGAAATCCATCTGTTTTTAGATGTTCATCAATCTTATCTTTTAACATGGTTTCCATCACTTTCCCCACTACTGAAGTAAGGCTTACTGGCCTATAGTTGCCTTACTCCTGTAAACCTTTCTCACCTTTTCCTCCACTGTAGCCCGTTCTCGTGTTGCCCCCCCCCCCCCACTGTAGCCCTTTATCACCCTGCCCAGCCCACATTGTCACTCTCACCTCCCCCACCCACACTGTCACCTGTGTGTCCTTTTGTGTTAGTGTGTGTCTGTGTATTTGTCTGTCCGTGTGTGTATTATGTATCAGTGAGGGTACATGTGTGTGTAGGTAACTGTGTTATTGTTTGTACTGCTGTGTCAGTGTGCGTATTTGTGTGTGTGTATTTGCATTTGTGTCACTGTGTGTGTGTGTCTATATGTATGTGTGTATGTGTTTCAGTGTCTGTGGAAGTGTATACACTGCACACAAATGGACACCTGCATTCAAACACATACTCCATACAAAAACATGCTTACATTCAAACACACACAGGGTACATGTGTGTGTAGGTAACTGTGTTATTGTTTGTACCGCTGTGTCAGTGTGCGTATTTGTGTGTGTGTGTTTGCATTTGTGTCACTGTGTGTGTGTGTGTGTTTATATGTATATGTGTTTCAGTGTCTGTGGAAGTGTATACACTGCACACAAATGAACACCTGGATTCAAACACATACTCAATACAAAAACATGCTTACATTCAAACACACATTGTGTATATGTATATATAGACGATATACACACACTGCGTCCACTACAATCAAATGCACACATTACATACAAACACTAAACTTATATACAAACACCCCTTAATTCAAACACCAACACTACATACAAACACACCCCTGCAGTCAGACGCAAAAATTACACACACGTTCACCACTACATTTCAATGGCAATACAAATACACCCAGTACATGCACACATATACTGAATACAAAAACATTCTTACATTCAAACGCTCAAACAATGCTAACAAATATAACCCTGCAACAATGGGCAAATATTTCCCCATCTCTCTGGGGGTCTACTACCTTTTGGCCACACTTGCACTAGAGGGGGGCTTAGAAAACATGCTTGCACCAGCGCCCTCTCTACATTAGCTCCACCACTGGGATAATCAACGTGAGGTGCCTGGATGAAAGAGCGGGACACAGCACTTCTGATTGTGCGGAGTTTGTGAGTGAGCAGTTGTATGCCTCTAAAACTGACTGCCATGATGTGCAAAGTTTCTGCCTCTAAAGCTGGTTGCAATGGTGGGCCAATTTGTTGCATCTAAAAGGTGCCATAATGTGCCAAGTTTATTCATTTTTAAAATATGCAATAAAAGTGAGTGGGTCTCGGTCCATAAAAGTTTGGGAAGTGTAACGGCACCCCCAGGCATAAAAGGGTTAAACAGCCGTTTAGTAGATCTTCCCCTTCCAGAGACACAGGCAGCTACTGTAGACACCAATCCACCGAACCGGAGAAGCATATGAATGTTCTCAAGCATATGAATCCTGTAAACAGCCAAATAGGAAAAACCATACATATAGGTTTACAGTCCTAGCAGTCAAACTGGAACAGCATACAATAAATACCCCCAAGAACGAGACAAAGCTCCGTGTTGAGGGTCAAGCAGGAACAGACAGAGCTGTGGGTTTATTGTTCTTATATACACATTACCCACAGGGTTTTGGAAAACAACCAATAAACACATACAATACACTCAGACACTCCCACACAAAATCCTCCCCTCTGCCTTACACAATGGGTAATGTAATTATCACAAGCAGAGAAATACAATTTTTCCACATTATTCAAAAGTATGCATCACATTCACATAAACTTACATTTTCAGAATCAGCATACTCCAAATACAAACATATGTCAAAATCATCCAAATTGGTCCAGTGGTTCAAAAGATAGATCGAAGTCCTTTGTGACCAAATGAAGCATGGCTTTTCTGCCCAAAACCAGTTCCACAGAGTCTTCTATCCTGGAGATAATTGGGAAGTAATCCAATTATCTCCAAGGACAGAGGCAAAACTCCATTGAACACATGGCAGCAAAAGACAATAAAACACATAAAAACATATAACTGTGCAGCCATTGCACAAAACAGGTACATTCAACATATCCCCAGATAGCTCAGATCTGAGCACCAGGGAGGGGCTGGCAACCTTAGGCCTGGGGGCAAAACCAGTCAAGTGGCCCATTGCACCACCAAATCAGTTCACCATCCATGCCCACCTTTTCCTGGTTTTATAACGGATATTGATGTTATGCTAATCAGTAGCTCTTTGCTATACCCGCTCCTTCACGGCTCTGACTTTCAATGTTGTCAGAGCGCAGGCTGAGAATCTCTGAGCCTGTGCTCCGACTCACTAACTGAGCACCGGAACCACGAGGGAGAGGATATGATCTGACTGCACCTACTGCTGGTGCGCACCAGTGGACCACCAGCAAATTGTTTAAATTGAATATGCTGGTGTCCCCAACTTGTGAGCTGTGTTGTCCGCCGGGCGCCTCTGTTGTGATGGCACCC